CCGTCGTTGGTTATTGACACCGCGGGGATCGTTCAGACTTTAACGGTCGGCCGTTTCCCAAACGTCAGAATTTTCAACACCGACCGATTCTGGGTCGCAGGCGGCGTTCAACGTTGAATGCCAAACGCCGCCGGTCGACACGACGCGAACCTAACGTGCTTGTCGGTCTGAAGATATTGGATGGAAACATGCAGTAGGATGGCGGTGGAAGTAAACGAAGTAGAAATTCAGTCCTGTCACTGTGGCCCGCGTTGAGCAGGGCCCTACGTGAAACCCTCAGGAGTCGAAGGGCGATTTCACCGAATCTGAAAGGAATCTGTTGTTAGACTTGCCCAGCGATCTGTGTCCCCAGCAAGAAACTGCCAGTCCCCCAGCCTCCGATCATTGCGAAATCCGGATGGAGTCTTCAACATGCATCCACCTGCGACTGGAGAGACGCGTCGGGCGAAGCGAGCCCGAATCGCCAGCAGCAGCCTGCCGAGAAAAATCTCTCCATGATGCGTCACCGCTCAACCATTCGATTGCGCTCGCATGAGCCACTCGCCCTGCCCAGAACCATTTTTTTCCGGCGCCCAATGATTGGGCCCAGTACTTACGGCAAGATGGCGTGCTCGCCTGGTGGCTCTCTGGGCCCAATCAACCCGCTGCTCACCGCCGGCGCGGCCGCGGCCCACGACTCTCCGCCGCGTCAGACTCTGAGCCACGCTCAGCTTTCTCAGCTCCTCTACCCTGGGCGTCCAAGACTCGCGCCCCCACAAAGCGCATTCTGTGACAGTAGAAATGAACACGCGTAGTCTTTTCTTCCCGGAACAGGACCGGCTCAGCGACAATCTCTTCAGCGCCCAGAACTTACGCCACCCGCAGGCGATGCGATTTCCCACTTCCTGCCCCGCCGGGCCCTCGAGAGAAGCGCTTGCGCCTAGGAGTTCGTTTTGCTTGCCTGTCTGAAATACTTCGATGGAAAAACCACCCGTCAGCACGACGGCGCCTCCGCGCGCGAAATCGCTCTTACCCGGCTGGGCCTTGCACTTGGCGGGATGTAATCCAGGCCCGCCTTCGCCAGAGTATCCCAAAGCATGATAATCATTCTTTCCGTGGAATTTCCACTTCTGGCTCGGAGTGTCTGACCATCCGTAAATACCATGCGCGCGTGGCGCCTTCCGTTGGTGCTTTGTCCCGCCGAGGCGCCGTGCCCCCTGCGATTCGACTCGCTACTCACTCCGGGCGGGGCTCTGTCCAACGCCTAGAACGCAATGCCGGAGATAACGGGCCCCCTGCTGACGCAAAGAGCGAAGTACGAGAGCAACGCGCGCGAGGCCTGGGAGAAAACCATGCAAGGAGGGGGGGTCCAGGGGAGGGGCGAGGCGAGGAAGGCCCGGCATTGACGGCCGCCCGGAAGCCGTTTCCTTTGCAGCTTTTCGAGCGAAGCGGCTCCCAGGCGCCCTGCGTGGCCCGTTTCCTTGTATTTTTCTGTTCTGCGCGAAGCGGCTCAAAGACTCCAAAACTGTCCGAGGGGGGCCCCCGAACGGCCCGAGGGGGCCCCGGGCGGCCCCCAGACGGCGCAAGAGAACCTCGAGGGCCCCCGAGAGGGCCTGAGGAGGCCAAAGACATTAGTTGCCCCTGATAGTTGAAACGTTTTTTTTCTGGTTCTCACCCTTTCGGGCCAAGAAGGGCCCAAGACGGCCCAGAAGGCAATGGAAATCGCCCCGAGACGGCCTCAGAGGCCCCCCAAAGGGGCCGAAAACGATGCAACAGGGCCCCCAGACGGCCCGAGAGGGCACCGCAAAAACCTAAGAGGGCGCCAAGACGCCCCCGAGAAAGCCCCCGGAGGGCCCCAATATGCTCCCTAGAGGACCCGAAGAGGCGGCGCGGGGACTGGGCTGCCTGGGCGCGGGGCCTGGGCCGGGCCCAAAACTGCCCAAGAGAGCCCCGAGACGGCCCAAGAGGGCACCGCGACTGCCCAAGAGGGCCCCAGGAGGGCCCCAAGAGAGCCCCAAGAGAGTCCCGAGAGGCCCCAAGAGGGCCAAGGAGCCCCAGAACGGCCCTCAAGGGGGCGCCCAGAAGACTCCCGAGAAGCCCCAGAGACGCCAGGCAACACCGTTGCTCCCAATTCCGAACAACGACGCAACAAACTCTGAACAACAAGGCCCGCCAGAGCGCGGCGACGCAAAAGGTTCTGAACAGCAAGGCGCCGAAGAGCGAGCGGCAACGTAGAAGTCTGTGAATGCCAAGGCCCCCGACAGAGAGCGGTGACGCAACGAGCTTTGAACGCCGCGACTCCCAAGCACGAAGGGTGCCATGAGCCGTCTCGGGCCAATTCCTGCGGCGCCCTTTCCGTTCCCGTGCCGGCCCAGGTTTCGCGCCCCTCTGAACGTCTGACGATCTGCTTCCTGCCCCATCACATAAGGAGACATGCGCTTTGCACGCGCGGGGCACTGCGCATTGCGGGGGGGCGGAGGGGCATCGCGGCGCGCGCGTTCATTGCCATCTCCCCCCCGCAATCGCTTGTTCAAGGGCGGGCGGGCGGGGGCCTTTGCAGGCCCGCCCTGCCCCAGACTTGCCCCGCCCGCCCTCCAAGCGCAGTGCGGGGGTGCTGCGCTGGTCGCCAAGGAGCGCCCAAGAGGCTTCGTAGCAGGGGGCCGTCCGCAAATCCTCTGACCGTGGGGCGCGGCCGTCTCAACGCGCAAACTGCGCAAGTATAACTGCCGAATCTAGCGATTTAGAAAAGACTGCCGAGTGGCGCGCGCGATCAAGCGCCGCCTCGGCATCGGAAGTAGCGACCCAAAGGTCTTCGCCCAATTCAATGGTCTTTTCCACGACCGTTCTCACTATGTGCAATGCGTCTGCGCACCCACGCTTTGGTCTGAATGCGAATTTCTCTTTCGATAGCTTCGAGTCGGTCGTCGTCGCAAGTCTGCAACACTTTTTTGCGCTGAGCAATGTCGGCATCACTGGCAATATTGCTATGGGTCTGTAGTTCTTGTGCAGGGACAAGCCCCCTTTCTTGAACAACGCGCGAAAGTAGGTAACCTTCCACTCTTCTGGCTGCTGCAAGGCCCCACGCAATACTTGCGACCAAAAAACCTGCGATGACACAAACCAGCTTGGCATGCAAACCCTTCAAAATTTCTGCCACCAGCCCATCGTCTGCCACAGTTTCGCCGACTTTCAGTTTTCGCAAACGCTTGTCGGAACTCTGCTTCCGTAGCTCCTTCACCGGTAACTTTTTGTATAAGGGGGCTCGATGGCGGCATCGGTGTCCCGATGCAGATGCTCATGACTTAAGTGTGCGAAAATCCCGGTGACTGATGCCTGGTTCGTCTGGGTGACACCGTGCTGGTTTTGGTTTGTAAGGATTATTGTGATACCTTCGTGTCTCTGTTCAAGACGTCGAAGTGCTCCCAAACCAGCCCCTCCAATGACAAGTGTTTCCAATTCTAGATCTCGTTCTCCAAATAGGCTTGCCCTAAGGAGTCCTAGCTCCAACCCTACTAATTGGTCCGTTGCCCCCCCTAATTCCGATGCCCCCCCCTAATTCCTATGGCTATGCCGCTATGCCTATGCCTATACCTCCCCCCAACTCCTATGCCTAGGCCTATGCCTATGCCTGTGCCCGCTTGCTTGCTCGCTTGCTTGCTTGCTTGCTTGCTTGCTTGCTTGCTTGCTTGCGCGCTTGCTTGCTTGCTTGCTTGCTTGCGCGCTTGTTTGCTTGCGCGCTTGCTTGATTGCTGAGTTGCGGGTTCCAAGCATGCTTGATTCCTCTGGTTCCTTGATTTGAGTCGTCCAATCTATTTGGAGGAAACGCTGGCTGATAGGTTGCGCGTCTTTGTCGTCGAGATGCGTTCCAGAGCTGCTTCGATAAGGAGCGACGTCTGTCATGGTCCATCTCGTTTCAGCGCGCTTCGAACAACTGCTCCACTTCGGAGCCATGCTTCGGTCCGGGCAGTGCCACGTGGTTGCGTTCCCCGGTGTCCACGGCCGCCCCCCCCATCATCAGAGTTGGATCCAGTTTGGGGTCGTGCTCAGCAAGGGCGTTGTCCAGGCTGTCGTGACACTCGCTCGGATTCCCCCTGGTCCCTGGCACGGTTTCCATCTCAGTTGCAACTTCTTTGTCTTCCTTTTCTTCGGCCGCCCTGTAACCCGCAAAGATTTCGAAAACGCACGGTGTTTTGGCTCGCCGTCCAGAACATGTGCGATTTTCCAGTTTTGGATTCACTTGGTCGCAATTTTGCCAACAAGAACATAATCTATTAGTCGTCGTCCCCCAGTGCTCCACAGCCGATGCGTTCATGCTTCTTCAAAAGGTTAGCCGATCAATGTTGTGGCCGCTGCACGCTGCAAGCTTCATCCCGTGCAGCTATTCCGTGAATATGTGACCTCTCCAATATTTTGTGTCGTGGCCGCTGGGCCCAATGATACTCGGAGAATCCGTGCCACTTGAAGTCCCAACGACGGCATTGGCATCCGAGCCGACTATGTTAGTGTAGTCCTTCCTCCGCCCCTCTTCCACAACGTCCGCCCATTGCTCAAACAGTTCGTCATACTCATCGTCTGGGCGATCTCTATAAGGAACATGCGAAGTAACAGGGCGGAGCTTCATACTCGCCTGCCCGAAACATACAAAACCAAGCTAGCTTTGAAGTCGCCCATTTTCTGTGTATCCCGATCGTCGAGCTGCGCTTGCATTGGGCGCACGTCCCGCTAAATACTGCAAAATGTGCATATAGGACCTCCTGGAGCAAAAGAGCGACTCATAACAGATCCTGAATAAACGTATCGAACATGTCCTTTTATGGTTCTTTCCTCCATACCACATGCGCTCTAGCACGCGACAATACAGTGAAACACACTTTCTTCTACAAGTACGTCTTGCATTGAATTCGACTCGGCTGCCCCTGCCGGCGGCCTGAGAAAACTGCACGGCAATTCACCGTCTACATTGGCATACCTCCCCCACCCCAGCCTGTTCCAATGTATCTGCCTTGCTGCACTGGTGTTTCCTATTCGGCTTTCAAGAGCTCGTCGAGCTTGCCCTGAAACGCCTGCGGCTCTCTGATGAAGATCCGATTCTTCTCTTTGTCGTTCCACGCGGCGACCGGGCGTCCTTGAACCGCACAATTCCTTCACGATATTGTGTGTCGATGAACTTCCTTAACTTCTTTAGGCGGTGGGGGTAGATCGGGCTTCCGTCCGCCGCCCGCCCACTGGAAAGGAAGGCAGGGGGAAAGCCACGCGATGATTGAATTAGGAAGGCTCCTAAAGCAGATTGGGATCCGGGGATCCAAAAGTACCGACTCTCAACAGAGCGAAGAACGACATAAACATACAGTGGCCGTCCTTCAAAGAGCAGACAGCGGCACACACACACACACACATATATATATATATATATATATATATATATATACGGTCGGGAGCCTGTGCTTGGCGTGGCGGCGGCCCCGGCGACACGCCATGCCCTGCGAGCGAATAGCGCGCTGGGCGGGGCGGGAGGCCGGGACAGGCTCGGCGCGTCGACGCCCGGGGTGAAGAGGCCCACAAACACACAAATAAATACACACAAATAAAAAGATTCCCCATATTTCCCCATATTTTCTGAGTTTTTGTCTTCCCCACCACTTCCCATATTTTCCCATATTTTCCTGGGGATCGACAATTAATTGTGTCTGTGTGTTTCTTTCCCTCCTGACGGGGACCGGGACGTGGACAGCGTGTCGCGCCGAAGCGCTGTGGGCCAGAACCGGCGGAACGACAGGCTGAGCTGAAGCTCCTGACCGGACACTTTCCCGGAGGTCCGCGCGGATCTCCTGTGTTGGCGCTGGACGCCCCCTCCAGAGCGCGCCGTGGGAGGTGCCGGAGGTGCCACCGGGGGCCCGAGTCCAGAGCGCCGACCCAAGAGGTCCGCGCGGAGCTCCGAAGGTTGTGCCTGTGCACTGGCTCTCTTCCTCCGGTCCTCGCTGCAGAAGGCCGAGGACTCGCTCTTGGAGTGGATGCGCTCGCCTCGTGGGCGGGGGCACGGCAATGTCCACGGCCCCGCCATCTGGACTCCTCAGCCGCGGCCCTGTGGACGCAAGGCGGCTGTGCACGGACGCCCCGTGCGGAACGCATCCGCCGGAGGCCTCCCAAATGGGGTCCGAGCTGATGGGGTCGGAGGATCGCGCCGCACTAGCGATGCCTCGGCGACGCATCGGCTACGCCAGCGATGCATCTGCGACGTCGCCATGGAAGAAGTCGGGCTCCACGTCGGGCCGCACCGCTGGCACATATCGGCGATGGGGTGCGATCCACCGACCCCGCCTGAGCGGCGACGATCAGAAACGGGTCTTGCGCGAGACGGCATAGCGATCTCACGCGGTGGCTCGCGCGGGCCGCCGGCGCGGAACGCTACATTGGAGACGAGGGCGCTGACGCGTGGCCTCACGCGGGCAACTTACGCGCCAATGTCGGCGCAGACGACCCCGTTTTCTTACGTCGCCCACCTGCTGGGAGGTCCAAATCTACGGGGTCGCGCATCCACGGGGTCGCGCCTCGGTGTCCAGGCCGCGGAGGGCGACCCGAAGACCCTCGCACCGCGAACAGGAATCCTCCTCCCTCCTCGTCCTCCTTCTCCTCCTCCTCCTCCTCCCTCCTCCTCCTCCTCCTCCTTCTCCTCCTCCTCCTCCTCCTCCCTCCTCCCTCCTCCCTCCTCCTCCTCCTCCTCGTCCTCCTCCTCCTCCTCCATCCTTCCTCCCTACATGTTCGTCGCTCGTGGTGGCCGTCGCCGCTCTGCAGGCCCCTCCAATACCAGTAATTGCCCTCCGCGCCCTCGAGCAGCGGCTGGAGCTCCCGGCAGGCCATCGCGAGGCGCCGGAACAGTGGCAGGGCGACGTCCTCGAAGAACTCGACCTGCTCCTCCTCCTCCTCCTCCTCCTCCTCCTCCTCCTCCTCCTCCTCCTCCTCCTCCTCCTCCTCCTCACGCGAAACAACGACGCCCTTGCTGCAGAAGACCCCAGGCAACTTTACACGGCGGCGGAGAGAGGGGCGCAAACGGGGACACCAAGAGTGACCATGGAGACAGCGGGAGACAACGGGAAGCAACCGGCGGCAACGGGAGACCAAGGGAAACATCGGGAGACAACGGGAGACAATGGCGCCCCACAGGTTCCAGATCCAGGTGGCCCCGTACTCGGTTCCTGCGAGACAGTACAAGCGGTTTGAGCAAAAGCACACAGAAGGCAAATGTACACACAATCATGCCTGGCCAGGGCCATGCAGGCAATGCCAAGAGGGGTCGCCACTGAGCGGGTCGCCACCTCCTCCAGGAGACGTTCCCCTTGGACTCCCCAGAGCCCCTCCCCAGAACTCCCAAAGACGCCCCAAGACGCCCCAAATCCTCTCGATCCCCGAGCCTCCCTGCTCCCCCATCCTCGATTTCCCAGAGGAAGTGGTGACCCCCCCAGGTGTTACCCCCCTTGTCGGCGGCGCGCACAGGGGGAAAGTCAGAGGAGCAGGCCTTCTCGGAAGGCGGCGGGGCTTCCCACGAGCTCTCCGGCCTTCTGAAAACTGTTTTCTGCGCCTTCGGGGAATGCTCATAAAAGGTCTTCTCCGAGGGCCTCCGAGCCTTCTGAAAAGGCCCGCCCTTCCCTGAGATCGGACGTGGCGGAAAAACAGCAACATCATGGAAACTTTGCGCCCCGGAGCCCTAGACCCCACCAGTCTGCGTCATTTTTCAAGCCCGATCGATCTGTGATGGTCCCGGGGTCAAAAAAAAAAGCGAAAACGCCCAGCTCGAAAATATTGAGGCGCCAAGATCTCAGGGCTCTCCGATGATATGATTGGATCAGTCGGGTTCTTTTTCTGGATTTCGGCCTCTGGGGCCCGTCTTCGAGCCCTGGGGCCATCTTGCACCACCGTGCCCGGCCGTGCCTGTAATGGCGGTGCGAAGGCCCGCCTCGGCCAGGAGGCGCACGCACAGCGGACCAGGGCCGAGGCTGGCTCATGCAGTGCCGACTGATAACCTCCGCGTGAAGATGTTGGAGTCATGTTGCTCTTGCGGTATTGAAAATAACTTGCGAAAGTTCGCCAAATGAGCGTTTTTAGCATACGAAAACTTAACTTCCACAAGTCACACCGTCGTCAAAACTCTTTAACACCTACATTCAGCAACTTCAACCAAGCTCTTCGCGCTTTCAACTTCCCAAGCGCTTGCAACCTGGTCCTGTTTCATCAAAGCGATTCGCGCTCATTTGTCTGTCCAGCGCTTGCGCTTGCGCTTCCTCTTCCTCCTCCTCCTTCTTTTCCGCATCCTCCTCCTCCTCGTCCTCCTCCTCCTCCACCTCCTCCGCTCCACCATCATCACCACCATCCACTTTTTACGTACCTCCGCTTCCTGCTCCTCCTCCTCCTCCTCCTCCTCCTCCTCCGTCTCCTCCGTCTCCTCCGCCTCCTCCTCCACATTGGCTACAGCTTCACAGATGGAGGGCGGGTCGTTTTCAATATGTGACACTCGCATTTGCGCGGCGCAAATTCGTTTTAAACATAGAGTTTCACGGATTGAGGGCGGGCCGTTTTCAAAATGTGGCTCTCGCATTGGCGCGGCGCACATTCGTTTTTTCAAACATGCAAAAGTTGTACGGATTGAGGGCGGGCCGTTTTCATAATGTGGCTCTCGCATTAGCGCGGCGCACAATCGTTGTAACAATTTGCAAACACTTCACGACTTGAGGGCGGGTGGTTTTCAAAATGTGGCTCTCGCCTTAGCGCGGCGCACATTCGTTTTAAACATCTGCAACAGTTTCACGGATTGAGGGTGGGTCGTTTTAGAAATGTGGCTCTCGCCTCAGCACGTCGCACACTCGTTTTCAACATGTGCAGGAGTTTGGCGGATTGAGGGTGTTTCCTGTTTAACTAAAAATTTGGCTCTCGCCTTAGCGCGGCGCACATTCGTTTACAAAATTTGTAAAAACTTCACGAATTGAGGGCGGGTGGTTTTCAACATGTGGTTTTCGCCTGAGCGCCGCGCACAATCCCCTATAACAGTTTCAAAAGTTTCACGGACTCCCATCATCAACGTACCAGAAATGATGCTTTGAAAAGGTTCAGGATTATGCTGGTGCAAGAGTTACGTTGGCTCTTTGTGCTGAAGTCCTAGGAATGGCGTTCTGGCGCGATTCAGGATCGCCAAGACGCAACAATCAGGTTGATCCGTAGCGTTGGAATCCCAAGAACAACGCTTTGGCATGCTCCAGGGTCTTCAAACGGGTGTCTTCCAACGAGGCAGTTCCATCAATGGAAATGAACCGTTGTAGGGGCCTATGAAGAGGGAGCTTCGAGGGAGGGTTTACTCCAACATCGTTGATGACCCTTGGGTTTACACTGGTCCTCCTCCTCTTCCTCCTCCTCCTCGTCCTCCTCCTATTCCTCCTCCGCCTCCTCCTCCTCCTCGTCCTCCTCCTCCTCCTCCTCCTCCGTCGTCTCCTCTTCCTCCTCCTCCAGCTCCTTCTTCTCCTCCTCCTCCTCCTTCTCCTCCTCCTCCTTCTCCTCCTCGTCCTCGTCGTGCTCGCCCTTGTCCTCATTCTGCGCTCCCCCCTCATTCCCCTATACGCCCTTTACGCCCCCTCCTTTTATTGCCAGTTCTCCTCCTATTCCTCGTGCTCGCCTCCTCCTCCTCCTCCTCCTCCTCCTCCTTCTCTCCCTCCTCCTGTGACCTGGGACTAAAGGCTGTCCTGGGGATCCCTGAAGCTGCGGCCTCCTCCTCTGATTCCTAGTCCTCCTCCTCCTCCTCCTCCTCCTCCTCCTCCTGCTCCTCCTTGGAGTTTTAGTTGCTATACTTGCATGATAACTGCAGTTATGTAATTTTAACTGTAGCTGTTACACAGCTTTTGCATCATAAATAACTCCAACATCTTCTTAGGGAGGATACCAGGAGGTCAGCGGCGAGCCCCTGGGAGTGAGTTTTCGGGCCACGCCGCGGGTCTCTGGCGGCCAGTCGGGACGATCCTGGCGCCCCCAGAACACCCCCGTCGGGGGGCAGCTGCTTGGAAGGAACACCCACAGGAGGCACCGAGAACTCTCGTCGGAGCAAGCTCCTGCTTCGGGAAAAGGGCACGGGGCGTCGGCGGCCTCTGTGGCCTCTGGAGGGACGTGAGCGGGGGCGCAGCGGAGGCCACTCGGGGCCATCGGTTGCGCCGCAGAGGTGGGCCAGGAGGACGGGGCTTGGCGCGTCAGGGCTGGAGGCACGTGCGCGGACCTTGCGGGGGGGGCCAGGGAGCGTACGCACCAGAGGTCAGTGTCGCGACGGCGTCGGCATCCATTTCTGACCCCGCGTGGACCGTGCAGCCTCGAGCGGCCGCGGCCTTTTCCGATGGCGCAGGCCGTCGGATGTCGGCCGCCTCCGGGCCACCGGCGGCGCTCCACCGTGAACGCCCGCGCTGGGGTCGCCGTCGCGTCAGCGTGGCGCGAACTTCTGAGAGGGGGCGGCCATGAGATCATGGGAGATCGGCCCAGCCATGATGCCCACCCACCGAGAATTGAGACGAAGCCAGGACAAGGATAAATTCGGGTGAGGATAAATCGAGAATCTCTGAGATATCCGGCGGTTCTGGAGGATGTCTCGGGCGCCGCGGCCTCCGCCGAGCGTTCCAGAACGCTCTGAAAGCATTCCGGAACGCTCTGGAACGGATTTATCCTCGTCCTAGCCCCGTCCGAGGAGATCTCGTGGCCCTGGCCCGGTCATGATGCTCACCAGCTTACAGTCCTTACCCCTCTCTTGGACACCCCGAGGCCGCCTCTGGGGGCCCCCAGCCGCGGCAACGACGACGGCGGAGGTCGGCCCACACTTCCAACCCCCCGCTGGAGGTCTCCGGAAGTCCCCGTGCGTGGAAGGGGCCATGGGCATGTTGGGTGTCACCAGGGGCGCCCAACTTCGCGCTTCGCGCTGCGCGAAGCGCGGGAAACTTCGCGCTCTCGCGCCGCCCCCCAGGGGAGAAAAGGAGAATGAGGAGGAATCGGAGACGAGCCGCGAAACGCGAATAACTTCGCGCCCTCGAGGGCGCCCTTGTGTCACGCAGGAGGAACGTATGACAAGACTTGCCATTAGAGCTCCAGGGGCAAGTTCTCCGTGAATCCTGTTTCCTACGGCTTCTGTGGGTCCCCGGGGCTATCGTAGGACTCAAATTTCCTGTCGGGCAACTGGCCACGAGAGCGCCACACGAGACGCGAAGAGGCCGAAGAACGTCCGAAAGCCTCGATCCTCGGTCCTTGGGGCGACATGAAGCGACCTGGGAGGAGGCCACGCCTGTCATCTCGCGGTCCATCAGGAAGGACACCTCCAAGCAAGGGGCGAATTAGGACGTAGGCAGAAAAGAAAAGCGAGGTCGCCGGGCGCATGTGGGAGGAGGAGGAGGAGGAGGCTGTGAAGGAGGATGAAGAGGAGGGGAGGAGGAGCGACACTGACCAGCAGGGGAGGAGCAGGAGTAGGAGCGAGAGTGGGAGCAGGAGCCGAGCTAGCCAGTCCGAGCGAGTCACAACGCCCCGCCAATTGCCACACTCCCACCCGCAACACAACAATCAATTCCGGCACACATGGATATTGGGATTGGAACGCGCTCCCACCTTGCGCACACGCCAGGCGCTCGCGCGCGGCTCCGCCTCCGACGACTTCGTGAAGGAACGGCGACGCGGGCCACGCAGGGGCGGGACCTGCAAAACTTTCCGGTGGCTGCGGCGAAAACAAAGCACGCGCCGTGCTGCCACGGCACCTCCGCTTTCGCTCACAAACCGCGCGGCGCCTGGGCGCCGCAACAGCATTTCGACCGCCCTCGCGCGGCCCCGCTGCTGCTGTCGCCTGCTCGCGATTCGGCGAACGAGCCATGCGCTGCACCCGCGCGGGACACAACTTCCGAGCGACATGCGCACGGAGCTAGGGCGAGGGCGACAAGTGGCCCATCCGCGCGGGCCCCCCACAGTTGGCGAGTTACAGATGTGCCGCGTCGAGGCGGCCGCGCCCCAGCGGGAGCCCAATTCTCTAGAAAAAGTGAGCGCGGCGACGAGGCGGGTGCGACATTCCAGACTTTCGCGCAGGATGCGCGCCCCGTCCCATGTCTGCCACGCATGTTGCAACATGGACGGCAGGATGTCCATGCGGAAGCGAAAATCATTGACTTGGTAGTGTTTTTTGGACAGGTAGGATGCGACTACTCCGATTGAGTCGCTGTCGGCCGGCTAGGTCGCAGAGCGGGAGTATACCGCCCGCCGCCCCGCCCGTCAAGGCTCCGCCCGCCCTCGACCCGTCCGCCCGTTAGGGTCTGCCCGCCCCACCCGACCCGCCTGTCAGGGTTCGCGCGTGACATTTCGATTGCGCCGCCGCCCGCCCGCACGTTACGGCCCCACCCGCTGCCTGACCCGCCCGTCCTTGAGGGTCCACCCGCCCCACCCGATCCGCCTTTCGGGGTACGCGCGTGCTACTTCGACTACGCATCATCCGCCACCGTACCCTCGGGCACGGAGTGGGCATGCCCTCAGGTCCTTTGCCTAATCCTCTGAGCCTCACCCCTCGCATCTGAAGATTATTTTCGAGACCTGGACCCCTCGCTTTCAACTCTCTCGGGGCTTCTCGCTACTTGTCGCGTGACTTTGTCTAAGCCAAACGGGCCCCAAGACGAGCCAAGAGGGCCCCGAGTCGCCGAAAAATCGCTCCAAGACTCCCAGGATGGCCTCAAGATGGCTCAAAAGACCCCCAAGACGCCCCAAGAGGCCTCCACGAGGCCTCCCAAGAGGGCCCTCAGAGGCAGCAGTCCTTGTTTTTTTCCTCATGCTATGTGTATGAACTGCCGCGGGCATCTACCTCGATCGAAAAGAAGAAGAGGAGAAGGACGAGGAGGAGGAAGAGGAGGAAGAGGAACAACAACAAAAATCGTCGTCGCCGCCGGTGACTCAGAAATGTTCGTTGTGTTTCGACCACCCAAGGCATCTCCTCGAATTCGGCCTCCAGGAACAGTTTCCAGTGCTGGGGACCACCGCCGAAAGTCCGGGATGAGGATCGACCTCCCTGGCCGGTGCCACCCCTTCGCAAAGTAAGGAACACGGGGTGGATCGAGGCTCGAGGCATGAGACTCCTAGTTCTTTGGCGCTCTCCGCCCCCTCGTGGCCTTCAGGAAGCTCCTCGTCGACACAGCTGGGTCCACTCTCGAACTTCTGGCCGGACGCAACCCCAGCTGGGTCTCAACGATTCCCGAGCCTATCCAGGAGGTGAAAAAAGGGGGCCTGAGACAGGCCCCGTGAAGGCCCCAAGAAACTCACATAAGACCACGAAAAACTTCAAAACAAACCCCTACAAGGCCCCCCTTGAACCCCACACGCTACGTAGGACAGGCCGAAGCCCCAAGATTGCCCAGCGATCGCGCGCGTTCCGCGAATTCTGTCTTTCACTCTTGCTGCCGCCCCAGGGGGTCGGCGGTGCGACGTAAGCCAATGAATATATGTATATAGCTGCATTGGCGCTTTGCGCCATGCACCTTGGTCCTTGAAGTTTGGCATGCAGGCGGAAAGGCAGGAAGGTGCAACAGACAATTTAGCGATAATTCCTTGCTGCCCTTTCCGACATCACCGTTCGAATAATGTGTTCCATCATTCTTCTCTCATGCTTCCTTTTCCTCTTCCTCATTTTCGCCCTACCCTGCGAATTATTCCCTATCCGCCTCAGCTCCTTTTGCGAAGGCTCCTCCTTGGAAAGCCTCTTAGGAGCCTCAAGACATTTTTTGAGGCCTCCTTTGGGCCGTCTGGAGGCATCCTGGGCGCCTTCTGGGGACCTGCGTGGTCTTCCTCAGGCCATCCTGCTTCCAACCGCGATCTCCGTGAACAACTGGGTCACGATTTGGAATACGTCGGGGGGCACATTGTGGCCATCCTGGGCCGTCATGGGGCTCTCGTCGGGCCATCTTGGAACCCTGTTGTGCCGTCTTGGGGCTCTCTTGGACTGCCTGGAAGCCCTTTCGGATAGTTTTGGGGCGATTTGGGGGCCTCCTGGGCGGCCTCGGACGCTCGGAAAACAGAAGAACAGGGCATTCCCCAAATCATGTAAAAACCTTTGCAACTCTATGTTTTTCTGCGTTTCGAAAGCCTCTTGGGGGTCTTCTTTGGGTCGTATTCGGACGTCTGGTGGGTGTCTGGGGCCTCTTGGGGCCCTTGGGGGTCCGTTCGGCCGCCCTCCTGACCGATTTGCCTCGGCCCGACAGGGGCGTCCAGGAGCTCTGGAAAGCCTGGGGGGTCATCTGCATGGGCGCTCAGGGCCCCCCCCAATGCCACAGGTCCGGGGGGTCCTGCTTTAGGGCGTTTTTTCCCGCCCCCCAGCTAGTAAACACATCAGAAGAGGAATCCATTTGAACTGAGGTTTTGGCGTTCTCGCGTTTTCGGAGTCCCGACGCTCCAAGACGGCCCGAGAGGCCTTCAAAACCACCCCAAGACGGCCCAAGAAGGCCCCGAGACGGCCTTACAACGCTCCAAGACGGCCCAAGAAAGGAAACACGAATTCAGAATCCAAGCCTCCGCCCTAGAGGCCCCCAGGAGGCCCCAAGGCGGCCCCCAAGAGGCCCCTAGAGGACCCAAAACGCTCCCCAAGAGGCTTTTAAGCTGCCTCCAAGAGGCCCCCGAGAGGCCTCCTACGAGGTCCCAACGAACATCCAACAGGCTTCCCGCCCACAACACAGGCGCCGTGGCGGGATGGGCCGCATGCCACTCGATACTTCAATGTCTCACCCGCCCGACCCGCCGCCCGACCCGCCCGTTACGGCCCCGCCCGCCGCCCGACCCGCCCGCCCGTTAAGGTCCGCTCGCTCGACCCGTCCCGCCTTTCGGCTCACGCGTGCTACCTCGATTGCGCATCATACTTTCATGTCCCGCCCGCCCGACCCGTCCCCCCCCCCCTTTACGGTCCCGCCCGCCGCCCGACCCGCCCGTCTTTGAGAGGCCACCCGCCCCACCCGACCCACCTTTCAGGGCACGCGCGAGCTACTTCCATTGCGCATCATGCCAGTATCCCGCCCGCCCGACCCGCCGCCCGCCCGGCCCGCCCGCTCGTCAGGGTCCGTTCGCTCGACCCGTCCTGCCTGGTAGGGCCTACGCGCGTGCTAGCTTGATTACGCATCATGCTGAAATATCCCGCCCGCCAGACCCGCCGCACGCTGGCCTGCCCATTCGGGTCCCGCCCGCCGCCCGACCCGCCCGACGATTAGGGTCCACTCGCTTGCCCCGCCCCGCCCATGAAGCTCCATGCGCGTGCACGCATCATATTCGAATGTCCCGCCCACCCGGCCTGCTGCCTGCCTGCCCCGATCGTTAGGGCCCCGCCAGCCGCCCGAATCTCCCGTCCGTCACGACCCACCCGCCCGACCCGACCCGCCTGTTAGGGCTCACGCGTGCTAACTTGATTACTCATGCTTGTCCCGCCTGCCAGACCCGCCGCCCGCCTGGTCGCCGCCCAGCACGCCCGCCCGTTATGGGCCGAGTTCCTCCACCTTTTCCGCCGCAACGTATTCGCCACTCTTGGGATGTTTCGCCGCTGCGCGCGCAGCAGAAAAAAGGGGCGGGGAGGATGGGAAAGCGGAGGCGGGAGGGCGAGTGGGAGCGGGAGAAGGACAGCAAACTATACGGGAGCAGAACAGACATGAATCGGGCAGAAGGGAGGAGCAGGAGTAGGAGCAGCAGGAGCAGTAGTAGAAGCCGTTGGAGGAGTAGGGGCAGCAGAAGCAGGAGTAGGAACAGGAGTGGGAGTATATATATATATATATATATATATATATCGATATATATATATATATATATATATATATATATATAGATAGATAGGTAGATAGACAGATATAAAACTAGAGGGACATATATACATATAGAGATATATAGATATATAGACATATGGATAGATAGATAGATCGACATATATAGATATATATATGTAGATGTATATATAGTAGTAGTAGTAGTAGTAGAAGAAGAAGTAGAAGCAGAAGTAGAAGTAGAAGTAGAAGTAGTAGTAGTAGTAGTCGAAATAGTAGTAATAGCCGTAGCAATAGTAGTAGTAGTCGTCGTCGTCGTCGCCGTCGTCGTCGTCGCCATCGTCGTCCTAGTATTAATAGTAGAAGTCGTAGTAGAAGAAGAAGTAGTAGTAGTAGTAGCAGTAGTAGTAGTAGTAGTAGTAGCAGTAGCAGTAGTAGCACAGTAGTCGTAGCAGTGGTAATAGTGGTGGTAGATAGATAGGTAGGTAGGTAGGTAGGTAGGTAGGTAGGTAGGTAGGTAGGTAGTAGTAGTAGTAAAAGTAGTAGTAGTAGCAGTA